TGAGCCGACCTCGGAGTCATTGCACCCAGGGTGTCTTTGTTACTCCCGTGCGTTGTCACTTGGCCGCTCACCATCTTCATATTGGGAGTTTTACCAGTCGGTTCATCGATGTGTAGGATATAAGAACATTGATAAAAGTGTGAATTAGCTCTGTCGTGCCGTTTCTTTATCCTCAACCACTTTCATTCTTATATCGACTGCCCGCAGCAGCCTTCTTTTCCTCTGGTTATCCAAATACCTCGGTAGCTAAACATCTTATCACATTCCATATAGCTCGTCGTTGTTTGCTTGAATTGGGTTGAATCCCATAACAGCTTTAGTTAGCCTCAACAGCGTTTCTTTGTTCCAGCCACTTACAATGTACTCAGGAGACGACACTTCGTATCTTGGCCTTCATTTTAGATTTTGGCGAATCGGTGTATTCCGTATTGCTGTTTCCGATACGACCATTGCGCTGAGCTGGTATAACTGTTTTCCCGACGTCCTCTTGCTTAGTCTCCAGGCTTGGGATTTGCAGACATTGTTCATGGCCGGCTGCTCCATTTTCTTGGTTGTATTTTGCTATTAACCTGACGGTGACTCTAGCCCTTGGGATTCAAGCCTGCATTTGTCACAAGCCCCATATTTGTCAGTCATTTCTCCCGCGGCTACTGTATGGGCTGATTTCTTTAGGAGCCGTCCGATCTTCCGTCAAAATGGTTTTATCTCCCAGAATCATACATCCTTTGTTGTCAACCTTTCTCGCGTCTGGATAGTGCTGCCCCCTTCGGTTGGCGGTAGCTCTGGCAACTAGTACCTTGGGCGTGTCCCCATCGTCAGCTGGCTAACACCCCCCGCTTCGCTGCTGACCTTTCCCGCCAGGCCTTGTGGTTGCGGGGTGTGGCCGTAGCGTGCTGCCTCTTCTATTCAGTGGCGAAATCTGGAACTACAGGTCATTGCTTGCAGCTGCTGTGCAGGTCACCTTCAAGGCGTTCTGCCGGGTCACTCACCCTGGGTTGTTGTACCCCGACAAAGGAGGCTGTGTGCTCCAGCCGGCATCCATCCTTTACACTGATCCATGATCTGATGACGTATCTTGCTCATCCAGCGCTCCCAGCCGTTATCTGTTCTCGGCGTGGGTCCACGAGCTGTTGACAGTGTTACTGATCCAGCTGTTACTTGTTGGGATTCGAATCGTTCATCCTGCGGTAGCTGTCTCCAAAAGCGCGCATCTTAATGGGAGTTTTAACGGCTGCCCATTCTGTGCGGACAGTGATAGATTAAGGGAACTGGGGGGGGGGGGGATTGGGTGTGGGAAAGCGGGGCTAGGCGTGTGGCATGACTGCGAGGGAGAGGGACTGCCGGACCGAGCCGTGCCGAAAAGATACTACGTTAAATGTTCAAGATGTAGCGTGCTACAGTATCAGAGCATTAGGTAGCGGGTCTGAGGCTAGCTTATCCGATCAGTTTTACGAGTAGGTGCCTAGTGCAGGTGGGCCTTTCAGACGGGCTCAACGCGAATAAATGAGACCTCGTAGACGAACGGAGCAGAGACGTGCAGAAGCAGATCAGAGCAGAGACAGAGCAGAACGCGCACGCGGCTGGCAGACATGGGCGCCATGTTTCCGCATCATCGTCTGTCGGCAGGCTCATGACAGGTAGGTCACGCAGTGCAGTGAGTCGAATTAACGATTAAAGTGAATGCCCATGGTCTACATATGCAGCTTTGTGTAGCGAAATATCGGCGAGTTATTGTGTGTTGGTAACGTCAGCACTACATTAAATACAATCTCAAATCTGGCTGTTTGTGATAAGTGTGACAAGCTCGCCTTGGGTTCAACGGCTGTGCGGTTTGCACATCTCTCTATAGGCGTTTAGTGGCGGAGGCGAGGGTGATCGCCTGAAGTTCTGACCGGTCGTTAGCGGGACCTGAGAGTGTGAAACTTCATCACCTGGCGTTTAACTTCGGACGGAACTGGCACGCCTACTGTCAACGACCAGCGATTTCGCTGTGAGCTTGAAAGGTCCGTGGGCATGGGACATACAAAATGTTGTATTGCGCGACGTGCGTGTTGAATGCACTATATGTATATGTACAGTGGTTGCTCCGGCTTAGTCTTTCTGTTGTTGAGGTCACCAGCTTAGCACAGGCTCAAACGCGACCGCTAATTTATTATATTCAAATATAATACGACTATTACATACGGCTAAGGTTGAAATAATAACAAATGTTAATCTTTCCGTTACATTTTTAGGCCTCTTTTACCAATTCCAAATGCCATCTGAAATCATGGATTTATTCACACATTGTCACAAGTTCATCCCTTCAGTGTTCTTCGGGGAGCAGAATACCTTCGCTTTATTAGAAATATAACAGACACAACACAAAAGGAAAGATACAGTAACACATTAAGCATTATGCAAGAGTCATATCAGATCAACCATACAGCACAGTTGTTCAGGTAGCGCTTCCAACACTTCAACAAGTTCGTGACCTATTGATCAATAAAGCATTTATAACAAAAGCTGCCAGCTACAACCTCCCCTAGATTCACAAAGCCACCGCATCATTACCGACCAGTTAAGTATCACTTAACCCGCGAGTTGCTGGGGGGGGGGGCGTTAAACGCCCCCACTTTTTTCGCCGGGCCATAGCATAAAAACGGCGCGCCGCAGGCGCGCCAAATTTTGGGTACCTGTAGGGAATTGATTGAAGTTTATTGTGACAGAGTTTCAAAAAAATCGGTCGGAAAATTTTTGAGATATCGAGGTTTTAGTGACGTCATGATTTCTGAGTTTTCGACCAAAAGCGACATATATTCAAAAAATCATATAAAATCACAGAATAGACATACAGACATGCCGTAAACGCCATTAGACTGCCAATACCATGAACAATCAAATGGCTATCTTCGATTATTGATTGTCGTTCCGCATTTTCCAAAATCTCGAACTGAATCTCGGCAATTTCTCGTGACTACTTCATGACCATGATACATGCATTTCTTAAATTCAACTTTTTTAGCCAAACACGTACACATATGATAAAATGAATGTCACCATCGTGTTCTACGCCCCAAATTACCCATAAAACATGTGTCACAGGCTGCGAATATCAGTTTTGATTTTCGGGGATATGTGCCTACCCGGTTGACCTGACCTTGACCCTGACCTATGCTTGACTGACCCCTACATGGAGCTGACACTCTTGTAGGCCTTATATGATGGATTTTGCACCATTTTGACAGAGTTTATGACGAGAGGCGCCCATTGCAAAGTCCTTAAGTCCATGCTACTGAAAGCCCAATTTCAGATGTTTGACCTGACCTTGACCCGACCTGTGACCTCAAAATTCAACTTTAAAGTACTCATCTGAAGCGTCTCGTCGCGTTCTTTCGTTTGCCGCCTCGTGCGTTTCGCTGCGCCTATTGGTTCTCGAGTTATCGGCTGGGGGCGTTTAACGCCCCCCCCCCCCAGCAAACGGTGGGTGGCGAAATACCCCAGCAACTGCCGGGTTAAAAGAGTACCAAGGTTCGCCAAGTTCGGTATTTTACTGGCACCGGCCCAGCTCGTCTCCCCACAGTGGCCTCCTTTTACTTCCAGCGCCGCGCATTGTTTTATCGACACGGCAGCAGCGTGAAATATACATATTTGGCTAGTATGATTGAGATCCATACGCCCCTCAGATATTGGGACATTAAAAAACAATACATAGATAAATGAACGCACGTTAAGGGCATGAAAATGCTATTTTGAAATAGTCGAGAAAAATGATTGTTGTTTTCGAGTGCATGAATTCCTATGTAAGTGAAACAATATGAAAAAGCGGCCCATTTACCTAAGTGCACATCTTCAAATGAGCTTACACCTCAGCGGAGGTGTAATTGCTCTCACCAGGTGAGAGCGGAGGTGTCTCACCAGGTAATTGCAGCGCCCATTTAATTCACACAATTCCAATGATCGTGATGTTAGGCTCCGTTTTCGACTGCCAATGTCATGGCAAACACATCAAGCTTTAGCCCGCGCACCGACGGGGGTCTGCGCCAACTTAGTACCGACGGGGGGAGGGGGGGCGGATGACCGCCCCCCCTGAGATCTCGAGAACGAAGCAAGATAGCGACAAGCGGTAAACGGCATCGGATACGCACGGTCAAGATCTACAATTTTTACTGAGGTCATTTTCAGGTCAGGTCAAAGATGACGTCACAGGGGTCGAAAAAGTCAAAATGGCGGCGCTAAATATGGAGAGAGTTTTTCTCGAATAACTTTCGAATTAGTCAAGATAGGAACAAACTAAGGGCATCATCGTGATCCTCTCGTCAATCCGCATCGAATGATATATATGTTGACCTCGAAAGGTCAAGGTCAAAGGTTGACCTCAGGTCACGTGACCTCGAGGTCATCATGTATATCATTCGATGCGTCTTGACGAGCTGAACACAATGAGACCATCCACGCGTCTGTATCTTGTTCCTGTATGGAGTTATTGGCCAAAAACCTTTGGTGACCTTTGATGACGTCACATGACCTCACAGCTGCCCAACAGCAAAACAGACCTCAAGGTAGTGAAGGTTGATCGTATATGAAGTCATGTATGGTATATGGGGCCATTCCGACCCGTTTTAGTGGTAAAAACAGGGAGTTGATTTTTCCCCCATTGACTTATAATGGGGAGGTCGCGAAATTGACCTGACCTTAGGTCACCGATATCAAAATTCCGAGATATACAAATTGTAGCTACTAATGACCTAATAACATCCTGCGACTTTCAAAGGCCTCCGACATCTACTGTAGCTCTGGCACGGTGACAAAGCTGCAAAAAAGTGACTTGAGGTTGGGTCATTCAAAGTGACCTGGTGACCTGACCTTGAAAGGTAGGAGGTTCAAACTTGCACACCATGTGTAAAATTGATAAGGGAATAGTCATACCAAATTTCGCGGCGCTACGCGCTGCGGTTTTCCCGCTATTCGCGAAAAACCTCAGGGGGGGGCGGATATCCGCCCCCCCCCCCCGTCGGTGCGCGGGTTAGAGTCCGTATCGCCTAAGCCCATCCGAAACAACGTCTTTCCTGATTTCCAACACAGATCACTGATTCTCCACCGCCAACCACTGGCCTTGGAAACGCATCGGAAACGCAGCCAGCAGCCGCCGCCGGCAGAGTATCCCTCGCGGGCGCCCGCGGGCGCTCAGACGGCGCCCGGGGCGTCTCAGGGCGCCGGCTGGGGCGCCGAGCGGCGCCGGGTGCCCCGGTAGCGGACGCCCTCGCAGCTGGCGACGGCGCCGCGGCAGGGCGCACAGCCGCACGACACAGCGTCCAGGAAGGTGTGCCGGTCGGTGCCGGCGGCGGCACCCGGCTGACAGTGAGGCAGGGTGACCGTCCGCAGCTGCACTGTGCCGTGCATGCAGACTGGGTGGTAGGAGCGACGGTACGGGAACCGCCAGTCGGGTACCTGCGGGAGAGATGGGTGGGTCACATGGGTACGAAAATACCTTACGCGGGCTACGGCACTGGTCAGTGCTGGTACGGCGGCTTGGGAACCACCGCAGCTGCGGGAGGGACGGGCGGGTCACAGATGGTACGGTATGATATGTTACTGGTATGTACAGCGGTATGGTACAATAGTGGTACAGCGGGACCGGGAACCACCGGCCGGGCACCTTAAGTCACAGAGACGGGATATTCGTGGTACTGTTCTGTGGCACGGCAGGCAGGAAGAGAACCTTCAGCAGCGACTGTACAAACTTGAGGTGATGAAAAACTGCCGAAGGCAATTATAGTTACTTGCGGCCACGAATGTGACTGTTGCCGACAAATTGCACCTATGCAAGGCGGTACGGGCGAGAGACCCAGCGCTGCTGAGCCGAACCGCCGCCGCGCCGCCGAGCCGAGCGCCGTCCGCGGTCGCGGGACGCTGGCGTCCCCTCTGACCCGGCTGGCCGGCCGGCGCGGCAGGGCGGCTCCCTGTTTGCGTAGGACCGGCCCAGGTCCGGGCCATTGTGTGGGGCACGCACGTGCGCGCCCAGCGTGTGTGTCTTCCGGGTGGAGCGCTGGACGCCCGGGCCATTTTTAGCCTTTTCTGTGTGCTCTGACCGTCCTCAACGCGTCTTGTTTTCACCCCCTGTCGCTGTATATAAGCTAGTTGTAAACACCCCCGGTCCTCACTTCACCTTTCGACTTCGACGGGGACACTGCGCTGCCCCTAGCTCTCTTCCCGGTACGTTTCGCTGCCTTGTCCGCCAAATATAGTGAACTAGAAGACAAAGTGTGTGAGAAGCCCGAGTGAGAAGTGAAACAGTGCGCGGTCTACACACAGATGAGATATTCGACGGAGATGCGGCAGGCGTATCGGTTCCGGTGACCAGGTCTACTGACTATCCATTTTTCATCCTAAAACATTCCTAAAACTCTCTAAGAAGGGGGTTCCTTTGTCGTCGGTATCCGGCGCTCTCATATTTTAGGCCCTAACATACGCCCAGAGAAGGGGGTTCCTTTGTCGTCGGTATCCGGCGCTCTCTTATTTAGGCCCTAACATACGCCCTAAGAAGGGGGTTCCTTTGCCGTCGGTATCCGGCGCTCTTTTATTAGGTCCAAATATACTTCCTAAGAAGGAGGTTCCTTAGTCGTCGGCATCCGGCGCTCTATCCTGTATCCAATATTTAGTTGTATCTTAACTAGGCTAACGTGATAGGTTATAACAATTATTTTCCCAATTTTCCAATTAAACCATTTTCCTCCTGGATCTCGGTCACCAAACAACCAAATGCTGTGCGATGCGCGATTAAATACAGTCCACACCATGAAAGGAGATTCGAACGAAAGCGTCGCCAACATTTTCTGGTCCTCCGGGCCGGATGGTCCTGGCATGAAGTGAGAACTGAAGTCCGTTGTGGCTGCCCGTCGCCGACTTAGTGATTGATTGTAGGTTACAAGCTGTGCCTCGTGTGTGCCAGTCGGATCGAGAAGAAAATTCCGATGATGGAAGATTCGACTCAGGCGGAGAACACAGAGACGGCGACGGTGAGTCAGGACACTGCCGGCGAGGAAGCTGGAGACACTGCATGCGTGTTGAAGCACCTGAAACTTCAGCGCGGGCGCAAGGCCGCCGCGTTTACTCGTGCCTGTAACACGGCGGAGGCTCAGATCGCGCGCCGAGCTAGCGAGGAAGAACTTAAGAAGCGGCTCGAAACCCTGAATGCGACACTGGATGGTTTCATGGAGGCGAATGACGCCTATGTTGAGAAGGTGCAGGAGGTCTGCGAACTGGAAGAAGCGGAAGAGTACGCCACCCGACTGACGGCACGGCACGCCGAGACGGTGAAAAGAATTGAAGAGGCGACTACGCACCGACCAGTGAGCTGCTGCGCGGCGTCGCAAGCAGATGACAGACCACCACCATCAAAGTTGCATCACGGGGGGAGTAGAGTGAATGGATCCCGTGTTTCAGGAGTTTCCAGAGCGGCGTCCAGGGAAGCTGTAATAACGGCAGAGATGAAAAGCCTGGAGCTGAAGCATTTGAAAGCCAGGCAAGACAGAGAAAGGCAGCTGAGAAAACAGGAGGAAGAAAGAACAGCTCAGAGGAGAAGAGAAGAAGAAAGGATGGAAGAAGAGAAGAGGATGATGGAGGAAAAGGAGTTAGAAGAGGAGGTGGAACGAGCGCAACAGAGGGCAAGACTTCTGAGGGCTGCAGAAAATGAACTTGAATGGGAGCGGAGAAACGACTTTGATGACGAGATCCCAGTGGAGGTGGAGCCTAACCACTGTGATGTAACAAGAGGCGTCCGTCATACGTCAGGTGAGCAGCGGCCGGCACCCAATGGTGGCGAAGTTCCCCGCTGCATCTCGTCATCACCCAGAGCTGTCGGTGTTCCTCAAGGCGAGAATGGGGTGCACAAGAATGACGGATTGGCTCGTGACAGCTGGATCCCACCGCCAGCCTCACCCCGACGGAATGACCTGGCAGGACCATCAGCGTTCGTAAAGAGCATACCGCGACTGACTCTGCCAACGTTCCGTGGAAATGCACGTGAGTGGCCGCGCTGGATTGGTCTTTTCAAAGCCTTGGTGCATGATCAGCCGTCCCTGTCGGATGCTGAGCGCATGGCTCACCTTCAAAACGCGGTGGAAGGGCCCGCGGCCCAGGCCATTGACGGCATGTTATTCAACGGTGACTTGTATCACGAGGCCTTGAAAACTTTGCAAGACAGGTTCGGACGAGAGGAAGACATCATCCAGGCCCACCTGCGAAATGTGTTCATGACCTCGCCACCGTCACTAATGGACCTCCCAGCGATGGAGAAGTTTTATGCGGTCGTCCATAACACAGTCACCGTCCTGCGAAATCTCGGCTATGCGAGTGACCTGTCAAGCAGTGAAAACTTGAGAAGAGTGGTCGAAAAGCTGCCGAGCGAGCTAGCCCGAGAGTGGGGCCGTGAAGTGTTCCGGCTGCGACCGACGAGACCGACTCTGGAGACGTTCACCGAGTGGCTCCAAGTCCAAGTCAGCATCCTGAGCTTCTCTGCTGTCCAGTCCGGGACTTCAACATCGGAACGGAAACGTGCAACAGTTGCTTCAAGGGACGGCCCTGTTCGGCGAACAGCGCTGGCGACAGGAGCTAATGGTGAAACCGAACCAGAGGCCCGCTCTCTGCCGGTGTGCGTGGTGTGCAGCAGTAACCACAGGCTGAGCGACTGCTCAGAATTCAAGGCCAAGACCCCAGACGCAAGAAGCGCTGTTGCCTATGAAGAAGGTCTTTGCTTTTCATGCCTCAAGAAGGGCCACTGGAGCAGAAGCTGTAAAGTGTCTCGGCGGTGCAATGTGAAGGGATGCAAGCTCACGCACCATCCGCTTCTCCACCGAGGATCAAGTCGGTCAGGAACCGATCAGAGCAACTCGAGGAGGGATCAGTCGTCAGCAGGGACAACCACGGGAGCGCCTGAATCTTCAGCCGAAGGTAGTTCCGGGAACCAGCCGTTTGTAGCGGCCTCGGTAAAAACGGACACAGACACACTGCTACAGATTGTTGCTGTGCGTGTTCACGGGCCCCGTGGTTCGACAGACGTTCTGGCACTCCTGGATGCTGGAGCTCAGACATCACTGTGTCGTGAGGATGTTCTGGAGGAGCTGGGCGTTGCCGGGGAACGACACCCGCTCTGCATACAAAACGTGGAGACCAGTGGCACTCAGCGTTCGTCCGAGAGAGTGAAACTGAAGATCAGCCCCCTTGGCACAGGGGCAAAGAAGTGCATCAACGTTCCTGAAGTGTGGTCTGTGCCAGCGTTGAATGTGACTGCGACTTCAATGACGAAGAGTCAGCTTCAGAGGTTTGAACACCTTCGTGATCTGGAGTTCCCGCAATATAATGGCGGGCAGGTGAAGCTGTTGATCGGTGCAAACGTCCTTGAAGCAGTGCTGCAGAAGGAGGTGCGTGTCGGGCGTCCGAATCAGCCGGCCGCTGTGAAGACAGACCTAGGATGGACCCTGACGGGCTGCGTGTCTGACATCGTGCCCAGCAGCATGCGCCAGGTCATGTTTCTGAGACGCCAATCGAGTGAGAGCGAAGTGGAGCTGTGCGCTGCCGTCAACGAATGGTGGTCTACAGAAGCATTTGGAACAAAGTACAGTGAAACGACGTCACGATCGGAGGAGGATAAGAAAGCACTCCAGATGCTGGAAAGAAACACGACCAAAAGTGGAGAGCGATACGAGACCGGCCTGCTGTGGAAGGAGACAAGTCCTACATTCCCCAACAACAAGCGACAGGCTATTCAGCGACTACAGGCAACGGAGAGAAAGCTCGAGAAGCTTCCAGAGATCGCAGGGAAGTACCAGGACATCATCGACTCCTACGTCGCGGAGGGACATGCCAGAAAGCTCTCCCCGGAGGAAGCGGCGGCGCCAAACGATCGCCGATGGTTCTTGCCCCATCATGCTGTCACGAACCCCAACAAGCCAGACAAGGTTCGAGTTGTTTTTGATGCTGCAGCCGTCTACCAAGAAGCCTCCCTGAACGAAAAGCTGCTCACGGGGCCAGATTTGCTACAAAACCTACCGGGTGTCCTCCTCCGTTTCCGTGAAGGTCCCGTCGCAATCGCCGCTGACATCAAACAAATGTATCACCAGATCAAAATCGTCGAAAGGGATCAGCCTTCCATCAGCTTCCTGTGGCGAGATCTGGATAGTAACCGGCCTCCGGACGTCTACCAAATGCAGGTACTGATCTTCGGTGCACGGTCATCACCAGCCACGGCCAACTTTGTCCTCAGAAAGACGCTGCAAGATCACTGGAGAGCGCAAGCGGGAATAACAGGGAAAACATCCGAGCACATACAAAGCTGCTTCTACATGGACGATTTCCTGCTATCCGATGCAAGCGAAGACAGTGCGCGACGACTGAAGCAAGAAGCCACAAGAGCTCTCGCGGAAGGAGGTTTTCAGCTGACCAAGTGGAGG